GTGTCGTGGACAAGATTGACATCCTCAACACGACACTTGGGAAGGCTCTTGGAGGTGCCAGCGGCGGCCTGTCGTCGGGGTGCAAGGAGATTGTGGATTTGCAGCGCCAGAAGGGGCGTCCATACCTTTTCTCAAACACAATCGCCCCCGCCGCTGTCGGTGGGACGCTGAAGGTCATGGAACTGCTGCAGACTTCCTCCTCTGCGCAGAAGAAGCTGCAGGAGAACACGCGGCTGTTCCGCACGGAGATGAAGAAGGCAGGACTGACAATCAGCGGCCACGAGGAGTGCCCCATCGCTCCTGTGATGCTTTACGACGCCCGTATCGCCGGCGAGTTTGCGTCGCGGATGATGTCGCAGGGCATCTATGTCACCGCGTTCAGCTACCCCGTTGTGCCCAAGGGGCAGGCACGCATCCGCGTCCAGCTGTCAGCGGCTCACTCTACGGAAGATGTGATGCGCGCCATTGAGGCATTCAAGAAGATCAAGAGCGATCTCAATGTTTGATGCGGTGATCAGGCAGAATGGTGAAAGCATTTGCCGTTCTGTTTTACGGGTTTTCTTTTCTATTTTCGCGTCATTCTTACCCTTGACATCAAAACGGGTTGTGGTAATGGTATCCCCATCAAGACGATAAAGAGCTTGTCTCCTCTGTTATTGGCTCTGCTGCCGGCGTTGTCATCGGGTGACGTGGCGGAGGGAACACTGTCTCAGCGATGATCACGTGCATCGCTTCTTTTTTTCTTTCCTTTTTGCCCCCTCGCCACACGAATTGCGCATCCAAACCACAAGCATACAAAAAAAAAACCGTCTCCTTTTCCAGGTAATTGAGGATGTTTAAGACAATTCCAAAGCTGGCCAACCCTGCGCTCCGCGAGGTGGCAGCCGCGCAGATTGCGGCCGCAAAAAGCGCGGGCACGTACAAGTCAGAGCGTGTCATCACGTCCAAGCAGAGCGCCTCGATCAACGTCGAGTCCTCTTCCGAGCCCCTGCTGAACTTCTGTGCCAACAACTACCTTGGCCTTGCCGGGAACCCAGAGGTCATTAAGGCAGCAAAAGATGCGTTGGACACACACGGCTACGGGTTGGCGTCTGTGCGTTTCATCTGCGGCACCACCGACATCCACAAGAAGCTGGAGAAGACCATGACGGACTTCCTTGGAACCGAGGATACCATCCTGTACCCGAGCTGCTTCGATGCGAACGCCGGCGTTTTTGAGGCGCTGCTGAATGAGGAGGACGCCATCATCTCGGATGCGCTGAACCACGCGAGCATCATTGATGGCGTGCGTCTCTGCAAGGCGGAGAGGCACCGCTACTCGCATTTGAACATGGCCGAGCTTGAGACGGCACTTCAGAATACCCAGCAGAAGCGCATTCGGCTCATTGTGACCGATGGTGTCTTCTCCATGGACGGTGATGTCGCGCCACTAGACAAGATTGCTGCCCTGGCCGAGAAGTACAACGCCAACGTCATGGTGGACGACTCGCATGCCACAGGGTTCATGGGTGAGGGGGGCCGCGGTACGCCAACGCTCTTCGGTGTCGTGGACAAGATTGACATCCTCAACACGACACTTGGGAAGGCTCTTGGAGGTGCCAGCGGCGGCCTGTCGTCGGGGTGCAAGGAG